TAATTTGTAGGAGATTGGGGAGGGAGGGCCAAGAAAGGCAGGGTCACCTCTCCAGAGTGATTCTCGTTGAGCTTTGCCAAAAAGTTGAGCTGTTTGTAGTCAATGCCGGAGTGTTTGTTCAGAGTCCCATTTCCTGAGAATGTGGGCAGGTCAGGTACCCAAGCTTCACCCTAACCCAGCTCCAACAGCTCAGGGTTATTCCCTCGACCATCCCTCCCCTTACACCTGACTCACGGGGCCGAGTGCGGGTGGTTCCCTTCCAGAAAGTGTCCTTGTATGGAATACGGTTAAGGTTCTGGCCCATCTTCTCTGCCCGCTCTGGGAAAGAAAAACAGCTTTGGCCCCAGCTGTAGTATGGAGCGAGGAGATAGGTAGGGACAAGACAGGATACAAACTGGAGTTGGGGGACAGACCTCGGAGGAGCTCTCTCAGGGGTGCCTTGGCTTTGTCCACAGGCATCTCTCCATACTTGTTACAAATGCTGACAAGAGCCCCATTAGCTACCAGGTCCTGGAATGAAAAGGTGGTTGTGATGATGGGCTCTGCTACCTCCCTGGCAATCAAAATCAACCATCAATACAGATATAGTACCAGATCTGAGTGTCATATATTCAGCAATACTTACAGAACGGATTGAAGGTTCTAGAATCTCCCATTCAGGCTCAGAGGTTGCAACCCACCCATCCCAGGGCTCAGGGCTTTGGTACTCACCTCTGCAACCTGATCTTGGCCCCAAAAACAGGCATAGTGCAGGGGCACGTTTCCATGCTCATTCACTGCATTAATGTCAGCTTTATACTGCAAGAGCTGGTCCCCATGGCCAAGAAGAAGAGGCAGAAGACAGTCAGAGGGGAGATGGGAGTTGGTGTAAGGAGGGAGAAGAGTACACATAATGCTTGTGACTGACTTCCAGACATGTATGTAATGTATGTGACAGAACATTCATGCATACCTTCTGCACAATATCACGGTGTCCATGACTGGCTGCCAGGTGCAGGGGGGTGTCATCCCCACGGTTCATCACATTGATTCGTGCCCCCCGCATGATCAGCATCTCAACCACAGCAGAACGGCCCTCTCGGCAGGCCCAGTGCAAGGGGGAGAAGCCATGATCATCCCTTTGAGGAAGAGACAATGGTCATTGATCTGGAGGTGGGGCAAAGGCTTTGATATGGAAAAAACTGATAGTCATTCTGAAAAATCTCCCTAGAAACCTTGCCTGTCCAGGATTCTGATTCTCATTCATGCCAGCAACTCCCAAAGCCATCCGATTAAGACCTTCAAAGGTCTTCAGACCCCTGAGCTTTAAACCTAACCAACTACCACCTGAAATCTCAACAAATACATATGATTCACTGTCTTCATCAACATCTCCCACTAGCCTTTTTTCCTTGGCATGCCCCATCTCATTAAATGGTAGCATTTTATCTGGTTTCCTCTGCATTCCTTTTGCAACATCTGTTGGTCCTTTTTGTTTCCAATGCATTTCATATGCCCCTAATATACTACTTGTGGCACTGGATTGTAAACATCTTAATGAGCTGTCTTGTCTGCTAGACTGAATTCTTGAGAGAATGGATTGACAGAAGTTGTTTATACATGTTAATACAAGGGAGGGGTGTTTTGGAGAAGGAAAGCCACAACTCATGGGAGAAGAAGCAAGCTTACTGATTGGCTCTATACTGAAACCTAAGATCTAAAAATGGACTGGCATTAAAATAATGTTTTGGAAGAGTTTATAATGAAAAAGAAATACTTTTGATAAGTCATTACTAATGAGGCAGATATCAAATGAGGATTTGATTTGGTAAAACAGGATTCCTCTACTCAAGCAGTCTGAGTCCCAGAAAACAGGAATATAAGAGTGGCTTCTTTAGAAAGAAAACTGACTTTTCCCCTGCCAAGGACCTGTATATTCTAAAGTAAAAGAGCTGTACAAAGAAAAAAGAAGAAAAAAACACTTGGTGGGAGTTGGGCCTGCCTGACAGCCTGGGGCCATAAAAGGAAATTCCCTCCAGTCTGGTGTGTGTGAGGATCCAAGGGGCGGGACAGGGGGGCGGTCTGTGGTCTGAGACCGCAGCCTCCGGATGCCTTAGTGTTGCGGTCACTTCCCTTGTGGGGGCTCTAGTTATGGCCTGAAACAGATTAGGGGTCTGACTGCTGCAGGCCATCCAGATGTCCTCCTCCCACAGGGGATTGAAGTGTGTGCATGACCTTTAATGACTTCCCTCCACAGCTGCCCTCATCTGCTCACTTAGAGATAGCTGAAAGCTTTCCTGGAAGGTTAGCCCCACCTCCCCCTCTCTGAAGCAACCATCCCCTACTTATCAGTGAGTTTTGCCCTAGATCTTTAATTTGTGCCCTGGTTTATCAGTTTCCTGCAGTCTGTGGCATAAGCAGGCCAGTGCCTGAGGGCAAAAATAAGAGCACAGGGTTCCACTCACTGTCAGACTGCCTGTCACCTCAGGGCCACAGACTATATTCCCAAAGAGTCCTGGAGGGAGTTTACCCCACCTCATATCCAGCATATACCTGCTTGGGCCCCCAAAGCCTTTCCCCTCAAACCAGCCCCAAAGGCTTCCAGTTTAATGCCACCCCTTCACCTTTTGGCACTAAAGAGTTTTATAAAATGCAAGTTCCCCTGGCAACTTCACCTAAGCCTTTATAACCCTACCAACAAAGTAAGAGTGCTATCTTTATCTGAGCACCCTTTGAAGAATTATGAAAGAATTACAGAAATTATAAATATATGAAAAATGGGAAAAAGTGACCAGGAATTACAGAGGAATAGCATAAAGGCTAATGAGAACCTGTGAAGTCTAGATGAAGATGACAGGTGATCCTTACCCCCTCAAACCTAAAAACTGAAGAAATAAAATTTTAAAAACCACCATCCTGAATCATCAGTTATCACTACTGCTTTTCTTGCTTGTCTCAGCTAATCTTGAAGAACTTGCCTACATTCACTATTTCCACATCTCCCATTCAACCCACCACCACGCTGTTGCCTTGAGGGCTGGCATGGGCTTCTGGCATAGGAAGTGTCCACAATACTTTAAATGAAGGAACCAGTGTTGTCTGGTTTCTTCATCTGTTTTCCTCTACAGCAGCCTTCACAAAGATCATCAAATACATTATTAATTGTAAATTCAGAAGTTACTTTAAAGTGCTAAAGTTCTTTAACTCGTCAACAGCCTATCCTACTGTTGACCACTCCCCCTTCGTTGAAACATTCACTTCTCTGAGCTTTACTAACATCTTTTCCTGTTTTTCCTGCACCCCCCAGTTGCACCTTTTCAGTCTTGCAGGCTTCTCATCCCCTCTCTGTCACACCCATGTCTTCAGGTATCATCTATATGCTAACATCTCCCAAATCTGGGTCTCCAAGTCAGGTCTCTCTCCTGAAATCCGAATCTGCATAATCAACAACCTACTCAACGTTTCCACTCTACTGTACAGTCACTTTAACATGTCACAGCAGCAGTCATCATCCTTCAGCCATGTCCAACTCAGTAAAAGCAACCACTATCTACCTAAGAGTCTGAGCCAGAACCCTGGTCATCATCTTTGCTTCCACACTTCCCACACCAAGTCTCATCAATTCTTTATCCTGAAGATTTCAGGAATGCAATCACTTCTTTCTTTTTATATCAGCCTCCATTCTAGTCTAAGGCATCACCACCTCTGGCACAGACCAAGCAACTGCTTCTCCAAATGGCCGCCTGCTCTTGAGAAGGTATCCAAGATGACACTTAAATGGACAATCTCATCATATCATAGCAGGGCTTTAAACTCTTGTTCTTAGAATAATAACCTTATTATAGTATAAATATTCTTGCATGATCTGGTGGGCTCTTGCAGCAGACCTCTCCAGTCTTATCTCCCGTGGTTTACCACTTGTACCCAATGCTTCAGCCCACAGAAGCCCATAGAAGTCTTCTATCCTCCAGCCATATGGACCTGTAGACAATTCCCAAACACTCCATTCTCTGTCTTGCCTCCTAGCTTTCGCCCGTGCAGTTCACTGAGACTGGAAAGCTCTCTGCAGCCCGTGCCTGTGAAACTCTTATTGAGCAATCAAGATTCAGCTTCCTCTGTGGAGACCCTCTGCCCCCCACAGGCTGTGCTTTGCACCCGTAGTACTGGGTAGGAAAGTCAGCCGCCCCAGCCAACGTGAACACCCCACATCGCGGAGAGGAGCAGCATTTGCCCTTCTCACCCACCAGCCACTTCAGCTCACCCCTGGTTGAGGTCGTTCTCCGTGTTGTCCAGCCACAGGCGAACGGCCACCGCGTTGCCCTCCCGGCACTGAGTGAAAATGTCGTCCATAGCAGCGTCCCGGCGCTGAGTCCCCTAGATTGGGGAAGCCTGCGGACTGTGAAGGTATCCACGGAAGGGGGGAGTGAACCCCGAAAGCTTTGTCCCTTACCGGAGATAAGGGGGTGGGGGTCTCCCGCTGCCTCCCCGGCTAGTGGACGTCTGGGAAGGAGTTCGGCTAGGCGGGATGATCCCTGTGTCCCCTGGGCGCGAGGGTAAGGCGGGTCCGCGCGAAGTAGAATAGAAGGTGATTAGGAAGTAGAGTCTCCTGAAGGGGTGTCGGCGAACAAGCTCGGGGACCCTACCCGAGAACAGACCTGGGGGGAGGGGGAGTTCAGGCGCTCTATACCCTGAGAAAGGCGATCGGGGGTCCTTCCTGGGGGTGGCCCTCGTTCCCTACTCGGTATTCGGGCCGAGTGAAGGCTGACGGTTGGCAGGGGTCGAGCTTTAGGGGAGGGCATGGGTGCTCCCGCACTCACCGGGACTCGGGCTGGAGGAGCCTTCTTCGGGGAACTCCCGTCCGGCCGCGCCCGCCGCCCGGCCCCGCCCCTGGCCCTCTCTGGCCAGCGCGGGTCCCCATTGCTCCCTCCCTCTCGCCTTCCTTGCCCGTCTAGCCAGCGGTACCTAAACTCGATGGTTTCCGGCGCCGCGCTGGCCACTCTAGCCACACAGATTTTCACTCTTTGGTTTCCGGCTCAGTTCCGGCTGCTCTGATCGCCAGGTTTAGTAGAGACGCGCTGTGCATGTGGAGAGGCGTGTGGACGCGGGGATTTCGCCCACCGCACCAGCATGTTTGAGGAGCCCGAGTGGGCCGAGGAGGCCCCAGTAGCCACGGACCTCCGGCCTGAAGCCTCACGGCCTCCGCCCGCCTCAGCCTCGCAAATCAAGGTGAGCAGCCCTGCGCGGAGCTCTTCCAACTGAGAAGCTTACCCTGGTGGATCCGGGCACTGGGGCTCGCTGTGTGTGTGTGTGTGTGTGTTCGCGCGCGCGTTGGAGCTGGGGGGCGCCTGCGGCCAACAGAAGACCTGGGGCTCGCTCTGTGTGTGTGTGTGTGTGTGTGTGTGTTCGCGCGCGCGTTGGAGCTGGGGGGCGCCTGCGGCCAACAGAAGACCCCGACTAAGTGAAAGCTGTTGAGTAGAAGTCAGTGAAGTGAAGATGAATTATTGGACGTGAAAAGCACGTGCAGAGGCCCTGGGGGGAAGTAAGCATGTCCTGTTGTTAAGGTCACCCACACAATTATCCGTGTGGTTGGAGCACAGAGGGTATGCCATTGAATTTGGAGAGGTTGAAGTTTTGCATATTTTAACAATAGAAGCCAATAAAATGGTTTTAGCAGGGGAATGATTTCTTAAGATTTGCATTTTAGAAAAGTCCTTGGTTTCAGTGTGGAGATTGGATTGGAGAGAATAAAAGTGAATGACAGTGAAGGGTTTTATCAGCACTACCATTCTAAAGCAGTAGTGCAGAGTGGGTACTGATAAAGTCCAGGTTAAGTGCCTGGCCTGGGACCTCCCAACAGGACTTCAGTCCTTCTCCTTTAAGCCTTTGCAGATGTGAAGGCTGCTGTACTTCTCAGGCTCTTCTACCTTTCAGTCAGCATCCAACAAGGAATCCGCCTGCTTTTTCCCATCCTCTTCATCCCCTCAACCCACTGCTATAATCTATGCCACTGGTCTTTCCATCTGCAGCTTGTCCCTTTCCACTTAGTCTCTATACTACAGCTAGACTCATCTTAAGTACACACCTGTGATCCTGTCACTCTTGTTTTCAGAAACCTCTGTAGCTTTTATAGAAAGATATAGAAAGTTGCAGGCGAAAGCCTGAGATTGAGTGTTGGAACTCCTGCTGCCTTGTGGCCTTACCACATTCCCCTGGGATACTCCGCTTTCTCATCTGCAAATTGAAGAGGTGGGTGGTTTCTCTGCTCTCCAGCCTCCCAGAAGTTGAGATGGTGACTTAAAAGTTGTTCAGGGTCTGGCAGGCTTCATGACAAGCTAGAGAAGTTAACTAAGGATAATCTAGATGCTTCCGCCAGCATCTGAATCAGGTCTCCATCTCTGCCTTCTTATTCTCCAGACCCCATCTATTTACCTCACCCCTTCTCTCTTCCCTTGTTTTCCCTCAGGGCTCTAAGCACCGTCAGCTCTTGGCTACTTTACGGGCCCTGGAGGCAGCATCTCTTCCCCAGCAATCCCCCAGCCTGCCTGACAGTGACTCTGAGGAGGATGTGGTGGAAAGGAAGAAAAAACACCTGAAAAAGTCCTCATCTGCTAGTGCTTCTATTGACGTAGAGAAGAAGAGGAAGAAGAAATGTCAAAAACAGGGTCCACATGGCAGTGACTATGAAGAAAAGGAAGTAAAAAGGAAGAAAAACTGCCTCAGAGGGATTCTCAATGCCAGTGACCCTGCTGAAGAACAGAAGAGAAAGAGGAAGTGCCAGAAACAGGCCCCCTCAAACCCTGCCCAGCATCTAGACAAGGATAACAAAACAGGTACTAGTGGATTTGTATATGTGTGTGGGACAGGGAGGGGCATCAGCTGATCCGATACATGGCACAGGTTACCTGCCACCATTAGGTTTGGGGTTAGTCAGTAAGAAATGTTTTCATCCAGGCCATAGTCTCTTTCTCAAGGACAGGGTATGGCCAGGATGATTGCCAAACCTCAGAATTCAGGGGCTATTGCCCCGAATATGTTCTCTCATCTCCCTCTCTTCAGGTTCCAAAGCTTGGAAGAGTACTGCTACAAATAATCAATCCAAACTGAGTCCTGGCTCTACTTCTGCCAACCCCCCCCAGCCCTTGAGTCGCAAGCAGTGGCGGAACCGGCAGAAGAACAAACGTAGACATAAGAACAAGTTTCGGCCACCTGACCAGGCTCCAGCCGCAGTGCCCACAGAGGAGACAGAGATGCCTCCTGCCCCCAGCCCAGATAATCATGAGGATCGGGCAGGGGCTCTGCGAGCCCGCATGGCACAGCGGCTGGACGGTGCCCGATTTCGCTACCTCAATGAACAGCTATACTCAGGGCCTAGCAGTGCTGCACAGCGTCTCTTCCAGGAAGACCCTGAGGCCTTTCTCCTCTATCACCGTGGCTTCCAGAGCCAAGTCAAGAAGTGGCCACTGCAGCCAGTGGACCGCATCGCCAAGGATCTTCGCCAGCGGTGAATGGGGGTTGGGCACTCTGAGAAGCAATGTGGGTCAGTCATAGCTCAGACTAGACCAGTGAGTGATCCCTCCCCTCCACTCCCAGGCCCGCGTCCCTGGTGGTAGCTGACTTCGGCTGCGGGGACTGCCGCCTGGCCTCAAGTATCCGGAACCCTGTGCACTGCTTTGACTTGGCCTCTCTGGACCCCAGGGTCACTGTGTGTGACATGGCCCAGGTAAACCCTTCTATCTCTCTCTCTCTCTGTATCTGGCCTGTGCTCTAGACCCAGCCTCTATGTGCTAATCTCTAATGCTCCCTCCCTTTACGCCCCCCATTCTAGTGTCTGGTGCTAGCAGTCAGTGTGGAATTAATTAATTAATTAATTAATTTCTTAAAAATATTTGTTTTTTTTTTAAGATTTTATTTATTTGAAAGAGAGCATAAGCAGGGGGAGTAGCAGAGGGAGAGGGAGAAGCAGGCTTCCCCTTGAGCAGGGAGCCCAATGTGGGGCTTAGTCCCAGAACCCTGGGATCATGACCCAAGCCAAAGGCAGACGCTTAACTGACTGAGCCACCCAGGCATCCCTCAGTGCTGGATTTCTGCTACCCATGTTGTATGCTTTGTACAGTATTCCCATTCTCTACAGGTGCCTCTGGAGGATGAATCTGTGGATGTGGCTGTGTTCTGCCTTTCCCTGATGGGAACCAACATCAGGGACTTCCTAGAGGAGGCAAATCGAGTGCTGAAACAAGGGTAGGTGCTCCCAGCACACAGATGTGTGTATATGTGCACAGGTATATGTCTGCATTTACACAGAACTTCTCACTCTTCTCAGGGGTCTCTTGAAAGTGGCTGAAGTCAGTAGCCGGTTTGAAGATGTTCGGACCTTTCTGGGGGCTGTGACCAAACTGGGCTTCAAGGTCATCTCCAAGGTGAGGGCCCTAAGAAGTCTATCTATTTTTGTCTCGTTTGGTCTATTTTAGGGTAATGATGTTAAGGAAAGAGGCCATACACGCAGACACAGATGTTTGCTCTTTGAAGGCATGACGTACGGGAGAGTCCTGGGAACCTTTCTGAGCAAGGGCGGGGCATGGACAGAGGTGTTTTGAGGAGCTGGGGGGAGGATTTGGCGCTCACTAGGTCTTTTCCACCCCTAGGATCTTACCAACAGCCACTTCTTCTTGTTTGACTTTGAAAAGACTGGGCCTCCTCAGGTAGGGCCCAAGGCTCAGCTCACAGGCCTGAAGCTTCAGCCATGTCTCTACAAGCGCAGGTGACCTCTGGGCCCGCCTTGAAAGAGGAGGCAAGTCTTGAACTCCAGGCTCATAACTGAAGACTATATCCAGCAAGTCACTGACCCAGGGACTGGTATATCCCTTTTGCCGTCCTAAGACTAATGTGTGATTAAACCCCCTGGTTCAGCCCCGCTCTAATGAAGGCTTCTTGGTTGTGAGAAGCATAAAATCACTTGGGCTAGCTAAAGAGTAAGGAGTTTACTGTGAAAATTCAAGGGTATCTGGGAATTAGGGTTCCTCCAAATGTGGGAACTAGCTGGTTTGAAATTCAGGGCGTCTCTGGGTTTGCTCCTCTTTCCATCTCTCAGGAGCCACGTGGACTTTCTGCCCTGGCATCTCTACTCGCTTCTCATCTCCATCTGCTGAGAAAATCTACAGCCAGGGCTGGGTGTGTAAGAGGTGCTCAATAAACCATAGCTATGGCTATGATGTGTTGTAAGCCTTACTATTTTCTTAAGTCCTTCCCTAGGTAGGGTTGGAGGTCAAAGACTGAAGAATGGATTTCTTGACTGAGGAATACTCTGGGAGAGCTCAAGATGGACCTTTCAATGGCCTTCATTTCACAGGGTATTTAGAGAATATTGATAAGACTTTGAATTGTTCTGGAGGGTGGTAGTAAGAGAGCTGGGTCTCTTCATAAATAACAACTGGTTGACATCATGGTAGGCTGGGGGATTGGGCTGTCCATTAGTACGAGGGTCTGTTTGTTGTGTCCAGCTTGTAGTGGGCCCAGATCACCATGTCCTGGAAAAGCTATGGGCAAGGAATGCTGGTGTTAGGAAAATGCACTGGGATGATAGACCCTTGGCCTCTCCTGGAAAGTATCTGCCATGTCCCGATATAAAGATGTAGCATCTTACCTATTTGGAAGGGCAAAAACAGAGTGCTCACTGGGACACAGCTTCCAGGGCTCTGAGCCAGTCAGATGCCTCTGGTGAGGGGATCCAGCTTCGAGGTAGGCTGTGGACTGGAAGGCATGTTTGGAGGCTAGGCAGTGTGCCACAGTGTCTTCGCATGTGCTCTTCTGTCTGCTGAATACTCACCTGACTGATGAAGTCTTACTCATCCTAGCTTAGTTTTTCCTACTCTACCGCTCCTAAAGCAGAATTAATTTCTTCATCTACATTCTTCAAATTGCATTGTGATTGCTTTGCACATTAGGCAGCGGTCCTTTCAAATGATATTTATCTTTGTATTCCCAGAGCTTGTTGGTGACATGGTAGAGTAACAGGGTTTAGTTGAGTAGGACTGACGAGAACAGGGTATTGCAGGAACGCAGGCTCAGGGTACAAGATGTGGGCACTGAGGACTAGGGATGATGGAAGAAGTAAGCAGATGGGAGAACTTGAACAGACAGAACAGGTGGGATAATGAGGGCTGGTGAGAGAGAGGAATCTGCACTGAGTCTGGATTCTCGCTTGAGCAACAGGTAGGGCTGGTGCTGCTGTTCAGAATGTTGGGTTGTAGGTACCTGTTCGATACTCACTTGGAAAAGGGATGTAATAGTGCCGGGAGAGACCTGTTCTAGGATTTGGGAATCAGCAGTCTAAAAGTGGTCGTTAAAGTCATGGGAATAGATAAAATCAGAGTAAGGTAGTGAAAAGAGAAAATGCTCCAAATAAAACTCTGAGGGGCATCTGTTGGATGGGCAAGGGCAAGTGGACTAGTCAAGGTGACAGGATGAGAAGGTCGGGCCAATAAAACATGGAAATGCTTTCAATATGGAGGGAAGGGTTGGAGAGGTTGTCAGCTGTCAGACGCTGTTGTGGAGTCTGTTAAAATTTACAGTGAAGTCAGACCAGTGAGTAAAGTTGCTGAATACTGTCGAGGGCCTGTTTAAATTTATAGTGGTATTCATGTCTTTTTAGTTATACCAGCCAGCCCAGTAGTATGGTTATCTTTGCCTTCTCAGGAATCTAGGTGTAGCTGTGGGGAGATTGAGTACTAAGGGATCATCCAGAGTTGGAATCTCACCGTGCAATGGAATTGAAAGCAAGCAAAGGCATTTCACACCATTCAGAAGTAACTGATCTCTCTCTGGATCGTGTACTATTGTAGAAGAGGTAGGAGAGTGAAAACAGAGGAATGGGTTGTTGCTCTGGGAATCATTAAACAAGTGACCTGGGCAGGTGTGAGGTGGTGGTCAGGAATTGGAGTGCTTGAATTATTAGTGTTGGAAGCACAGCAGCTCCCGGCGATGGCCATGTCTAGAATGAAGCCACAGGGGTAAGTGCCTGAGAGGCAAGTGAGAGAGGTTACCTGTATGTTGGGTAATGGACTGAGGGCTCGGGTATTACGGGGAGATCTTGTCTGAATGGACTTTGAGGTTCTCCAGGGTGGTGGTAGAAGTTAGCATGGAAGAGAGGCCAGCCTCTCAGGGGAGGGGGCACATCCAGGAGGTCTGCAGACAAAAGGATGGGGAAGCTAGATGGTTGAATTTCAGAAGTGCAGGGGGGTTGGACTGCCTACTAGAGAGACTTCCATTGTGGGAGTGATGTGAGGCTGGTGAGTGGAGCTGGCTGCCAGGCAGCTGAGATAACTGCCTCTCGGCAGTCCTTTCCAGCGTGTCAGGAATTACTGGGTATTACTAGGGGAATTATTATTATGGCAGCTGCATGGGACAGGAGCCTCCGGGGAGAAGGGGAGGCAGGCCACAAAGTCCAAGGAAAGTGTTAGATTAGCTGTGGGACACACATTACCTTTGACAATTCCCTGTCTGCGTTCTTTTTTTTTTTTTTTAAAGATTTATTTATTTATTTATTTGACCGATCACTAGCAGGCAGAGAGAGAGATAGAGAAGGAAGCAGGCTCCCTGCTGAGCAGAGAGCCCGAGGTGGGGCTCGATCCCAGGACCCTGAGACTATGACCCGAGCCGAAAGCAGAGGCTTTAACCCACTGAGCCACCCAGGCGCCACCCCCGTCTGCGTTCTTTTGCAAATGTTTATATTCCTAGGTCTTGGTTAATTTTCCCTGTTTTTTGTTTTGTTTTGTTTTGTTTTTCTCAGCAGAACAGCTGGGGTCTGCTTTTTTCCTTTTCTTGTCCTCCTTACTTATAATTTAGATTCTTCCTTTGCCTATTCTGGCTCTCTCCACCCAAGTAAGTATCTCTGGGTTTGACTCAGGCCTTGGATTCCCTGTAACTCAGTCCAGCCCCAGTAATGTCTCCATCAGTTGCTCTGATTCTGAAATCAGGACTCCCCTGATCTTGATCGGGGGCCTCTTGGCTCCATCTTCAGCTTCAGGACAAACTCTTAGGCAAGCCCAAGTCCCTGGAATCAGTGTTTAAGGCTGAGAGCCGAGGCTGGAGAGGGAACAGTGTATTTCTTTAAGAAATAACAGCATGGCAGCTATTCAAAGAACCAACAATTTAAGGAACAGTTTGAGAAGAGATTGAAGGAAGGGCAAGAGTAGTAAGAGGTAAGTGGAAGGGGGCCGCTGTACTGTGCAAGGCAGTGCATGACAATCACCTAGTGGTTACCAAGCCCTCCCCCAGTTTCTGATTGAGGAGATCAGGATAGGGTTTGAGAAGTTCTGTTCTGGTTGCTTTGGTTTTTCACAGTGAAGCAGGAAGCAGGGTTGAGAGAGTAGCAGGGAAGGGGTTGGAGTTTTGAGGCAAGGAGAGTGTAATGAACAAATGAAGGAAATGGATTGCTGGTGGTATTAATAACGTGCTTGAGGTTGAAGGTCAGAAAGAGGATGCATGGGAAGAGATCGTGTAGGATCTCTGTAGAGAGCTTGCTGTTTTGAGACAGCACAGCTGGTCTGTGAGGGCCCACCCCCCTGACCTCAACTCTTAACTGCGGACTCCACTGGGACCATTCAGGAAGCTTGAGGTATTTATATTCCTACGGCCGAGGAATGATGAGCCTGGAGTCTGACTCCTGCCTTGGGAATGTAGAGGGCAAGCAGAGGCTCACTAACTTTCAGTGGTGGAGCTGGGCGAGTGCCACTGCTTTTGCATTGGCCTGCGTTCCCCGAATTTGCCGTGGCAAGTGAGGCATGTGTGTATCCTGTCATCTTGCAGGAGAGAGGGAAGCATGCGGTGCTCTTGGTTCCTTTCCAGTAGGACCATTTGAGGAAGCAAGGAGACCTCAGCACAAAGCAGCTAGGAGTGTGCCATGTGGACTGAGGAGGGAGTTGCAGGAGACCACCCACTAAAGTTGCATCTGCCAGGGTCAAGGGCACAGTTGGGATGTCCCCTTTAAATATCTGCCAGCCCCATAGGGCACAGAACTGCCCAGTCCAGCAAGAACCTTCTTTCCTTTCTTATCCCTTTATTTCTGTGCCGCTGGGCCCAGAGCAGTCAGCATCTGTTAGGTAGATTGGAGGTAAGAAGAGCAGAGAGCATACAGACTATTCTTCCCCCTCCCCAGCTGAGGCTCCTTGAGACTAGACGTAAGTGGGCCAGGGCTGGGAGGGGCAAAGTAGTTAAAGCTACAGTAGGTACAGATTATTTATTGTTATTATGTAGGTTTAGACATTCTGATTGCTTGAAATCATAAGACTGTTAATTAAGAATGAGCTGAAAAGTCACAGGCTTGCTGCAGTTTCTCTCCACATCAGGGAACAGTGCCCCCAAATGAAAAAGGAAGGGTGGTAAGAGTCAAGAATATGTAGTTGGGTTTGGATGGCAGCCTGTGCCTTGTGCTTGTTCAGCATGCTTTGAGAGGTTTCTTGCCGCTGCAGCTTTTGGTGGGCTCCAGCTTTTGTTTCTGTAACACAGTCCCGCAGGAACACAGTTCCAAAGGAAACAGCATGATCTTGGCAGAGACACAGTCCAGCTCTAAACACTCAGCCATTTACATCATTGCACAAAGCCCTTCACAGCTTTTCACAGACACAGACCTGCAGTTAGAGCCTTCTATGCACAGGTCGACCTCTTCCCAGGTGACTTCTCAGATTGGCCACCTGGTTCTAGGACGTTAACCACTGTCTTACCAGTCTAATTGCTTCCATTCCTGCCCCCAAAGCCATTCATTTCTCCACATAGCCAAGTGATGTTTTTAAAATGTAAATCAGATATGTCATTTCTCTTTTTAAAATCCTTCAATGGGTTCTCAGTGCTCTGAGAACAAAAGACATAGACTCATTCCCAGGCCCTGTGTGATCCTGCCCAGGCCTTGCTCTTCAGCTGCATCTTAACCACTCCTTCCTCCTGAGGCTGCAGCCACATGGGCTTTCTTTTCTTTCTTTAAGCATTCCAAGCTGCTCCTGCTGGCTCTTTATACATACTGCTCTGTCTTTCTTCAATACTTTGCTTGATGAGCTTTGCGTGATCATCTTCCAGATCTTCACACCAGTATCTCCGTTTCTTCTGTAGAAAAAACTGGCTAGATGCTCACCAAAATGTCCTTTTCATGGACACACAGTTACACTCCATTTCCTATCCCCTTGCATCAAGGTAGGGCTCTGTGAATAGTCCTCACTAATGGAAAGTAAGTAGA